GGGGAGGGCGAGCCCAGCTTGGCCCTGCAGTTGGGCAGCCTGGCCATCCTCATGACTTCGCAGAGCTTCATGTGGCCGGTGGGTGGGGGGATGTCAGATACCACGGACATGAATTAAGCAGGCGGAAGTGCTCCCCAGAGCCTGGTGACCTGCAGCCTGGCACCTCCTGGGGTGAGAGGCATCGGGTGCTTTGTGAGCCCCTTGGCTCTGAGCAAAGACCTGATGAGCACTCATACCCGGAGCCCAGAGAAGCTAGCGGAGCTGGGGCCGACTCTCCTCCGGGTCGCCGAATGACACAGACACTTGCCTCCAGCAGCATGGCGAATGGGGAGACGTTAAGGCTCCGAGTTTCCTACAGAACTGGCGCTGAGCACACACCCTGTGTGTAGCCTGCGAAGCCGCCCAGGGCCTTCAGCCTTGCAGCCACCGGAACTCCTGCCGTGCCTGAAGCAGTGTGGCAGGGCTAGGCTGCGGGCAGGCAGGGAGACAGCTCCCTGTCAGGACTGAGAGGGGCTTGGGGGCCTACAGAGGAGGCCCGGGTTTGCGGGAAGTGCCTCTGCTCACTGCTTGCTCACAGCCTCGGGTGGCACACACACACCGCTGCAGTCACACACGCACACACCGCTGCAGTAACGCACGCACACACCGCTGCAGTCACACTGGCCACAGTGCCGTGGCACACACACACCGCTGCAGTCACGCACACACACACCGCTGCAGTCATGCACGCACACACCGCTGCAGTCACGCTGGCCACCGTGCCGTAGCACGCACACACCGCTCCAGTCACGCTGGCCACCGTGCCATAGCACACACACACCGCTGCAGTCACACACGCACACACCGCTGCAGTCACGCTGGCCACAGTGCCGTGGCACGCACACACCGCTGCAGTCACGCACGCACACACCGCTGCAGTCACGCTGGCCACCGTGCCGTGGCACACACACACCGCTGCAGTCACGCACGCACACACCGCTGCAGTCACGCTGGCCACCGTGCCGTGGCACGCACACACCGCTGCAGTCACGCTGGCCACCGTGCCGTGGCACGCACACACCGCTCCAGTCACGCACGCACACACCGCTGCAGTCACACACGCACACACCGCTGCAGTCACGCTGGCCACCGTGCCGTAGCACGCACACACCGCTGCAGTCACGCTGGCCACCTGCCTCCAGCTGGGCTTGGGCCTCCTTCCCACCGACCTCAGGCGGACAGGGTGGAGGCCCCTGGGCCTGGGGCAGACTTGCGCCTCAGTGGACCCTGCTCGCTGGAGAGGTCAGTACAAGCCTGGTGGTGGTAGGAATGACGTCTGCGTTGGAGAAAGGTGTGTGGCACTGGGGCAAATCCTGGTGTCTCTCCTCCTCCTCTTCCTTCCCTTCCCTCACATCGAACCCGCTTTTTGGCCACCCACTCCCTTTTCTCAGGGAGGGCCAAGAGGGTCTGGCCATGGGGAGAATATTGGTGGCATTGGGAAGTTTTAAATCCAAAGGCATTCTTATGTCCAGTGTTCCAAGTCTGATCTGTGAAAGGAAATAGAATAAACTGGGAAGTGTCACAGTGAAATTATTTTGCTCTTGGTATCATAGTGCTAGGAAAAGAACAAGCCACAAAACAAGAGGAAATACTCCAAATTAAATGCCTTCCAAGGTCTTTGTATCCAAAATATACTTAAAAGTCTGAATACTTTATTAATAAGAAAACTAAAATATACTATTTAAAAATAAGGGCAAAGCGTGTTTTGCCAAAGCAGACAGACGCACAGATGGCAAAAAGCCGTGAGAAGACGCGTAGTGGAGTCCTGGACAGAGCGCGCTGGACCACGGCCGGTCCTCTGCGCCTGTGGGCTGCGGCGGCCGCAAGGTGAGCAGCCCCTGATGTGTGTGTGTGTTCTGTTTCAGATCATTACCTTTGATGAGCTAAGGACGGATTTCCAGAGTCCGGTGGACCAGTGCAACCCTGCCCACGCGGTGAGTGGTGGGCGCGGGGCGCGGGGTCCCCACGGCCCTGCGCCTGGCCCTGTTTGGTGCTGAAGTCCTCTCCGGGTCACAGGAGCCTCGGGTCGGGTCTGCTCTTAGCGGGAACCGAGTGGCTGTGGGCTGAGGCACACGCCTGCTGTTGGCTGGAGTGTGTGACGGAGTTACGGGTTCTGCGTTGGGGTCTTCCTGTGTCCTTGGAACCCATAGGTATAATCTGCGTCCTCAGGATGCTGCGGCCAGGGCCCATCACCCTACTCTGTCCTCCACAAAACAGGGCTCTGGTTGAGGTGACATGGGCAGCGGCCTTGGGGAAGCTGGGCTTGATTTCTAGAAAAGTCCTAGTGGATGCCGCTGGTATCTGGCTCAGCATGGTCCTAGAGTGAAGGAAAAGGGAGGCACCAGTGCTAGTGAGCCCCGTGCTGATGAGGGGGTGGCGCCCTTAGGGTGCCCTGGGCCCGCGGTGTCCTGGGCGTGGGGTGTCCTGGGTGCGCGATGTCCTGGGCGCGGGGTGTCCTGGGCGCGGGGTGTCCTGGGCGCAGTGTCCTGGGCGCGCGGTGTCCTGGGCGCGCGGTGTCCTGCGGGGTGTCCTGGGCGCGGGGTGTCCTGGGCGC